TCCAGCCATTTTATTACTCTTCATACATTCTACCTGAAGCTCGATACACCTGACGGCGGTAATTAAGTGGTTTTAAGTTTGTGGTTCTAGTAATACTGTGTAATTAATGCATCTTGGAGTTTGTTTATCCTTCCTGAGGTCACCTTACCTGACCAAATGATCTTGTTGGCTGATGCAGCCATCCCTGGTAACTAAGGTGGCTGGCTGGTGGCTGTTCCGTGGCTGGTTGCTGTTCCATGGCTGTTAGCTGTACCGTGACTGCTGCAGCCATATCTATTAATCAAGTTTGTAGGCGACTGTATAGCCATCACCAGTATCCAAGGTGGCTGATTGGTACCTGTAACCAAGGTGGCTCTATGTTCCATGTCTGTCTGGTTTGCCACGTAGAGGTCACACAGGACATTTACCAAAAAATAAAAAATAAAATAAACTTTTCTCACTATCAATTTTTCTGCTTAAGGATGGTTGGTGATGGTCACTAAACTTGTCATTCCATTATGGTCTAGAATGGGCCCAGTGTCTCATATGTTGCCTCTCATTGCACCATCCATCAACGTACACTTTATAAGGCGTACAAGCACCCAGAGTGTTGCTGATCACTCTGCCTGTATTGTTTCAGGTTGTCATTTTGTATTCGTTGTTGTAGAGCAGCGAATGTTTAGGTCGAGGAAGAGTGTTCAAATGTCAGGGGTTGAGATGGTAGCAAACAACAAATGGCGCTTCTCACTCACAGCTTGTTACACTCGTTGCTCTTTAATGTGACATGACGCTCACTATTGTTTATCATTTTTAACACTTGTCGATAATAGTACAATGTATACTTCATACGCTCGTGTGCTTTGATCGTGTGTCGCCAGATGGCTGTAATTTTATACCTTTGACTTTGGCTAATAATTTTAACCGCAGTTCAAATCCTGTTATATGCAGATCCAGAATAAATTAGGACATCCGACAACATATTTGTATTTATATAAACTATCCAGTGTAGTACAGTTGCAGATAATAACATTTTACGAGTGTATCTGTATAAGTGAACGTTTAGTGTAACAATAGTATCCAGGCATGTCTGCTGGACTGATGATATAAAAGAGTTGAAGATACAATTACCAATATGAGCACTTCTTGAATGACGTCATTATATACGTTTTGGAGTTTTAAGCGTTGTGTGTGTTGAAGGGAGTCGACATGATAGAGTACGAAGTTTGTCAGCAAGGTAGGCAGAGCGCTTCAGGGGAACAACAAGAACTACTTTTTCAGCTGTAAGTAAATGTTTCCCTTTTAATAAGAAACGCCATGGAAACGGCCAGAAATTAATAATTTCACGCCGCGAAGTGTTCTGTAAAACAGGGTTGTGATTAATGTGACTCGTGCACCATTTATCAATTGGATTTCCTCAGTAAAGTTAAGCAGTTCTCTGTAACCATTTGTTTAAATTAAGTTTGATTAAGGAACAAAAGTCAGTTGTTTGTTTAAAACATAGCAAAGAAACTGAAAAACAACAACAACGGCAACGACGATGTTTGACACTAGAACACCCTTACCAGTTGGTGTTGTGTTTCACACCAACACGTGCTGTGGACAGCGGTCAACCTACCAGCAACAGCAGCTGGTGAGAGCACGGGCGTGTAGTTGGGGCAAGGGTACCCCCCCCAACCCCTCCCCCACTAACAGCAGCAGCAGCAGGAGTCTGGGTGGGCGCGTGGCTGTATTGATTCCGTGGGCCGCAATCCGTGCAGGGGCGGCCACACATTCCCACCACCTCCACTAGCGCCCCCAACCCTCCAGACATCTGGCCAGTCCTTTCCCTGCTGCCCTGTCGCCCACACACTCTACTGGCCCACCACCACCATTATTCACACACTCTGCTGACCCACCACCACCATTATTCACACACTACTGGCCCACCACCACCATTATTTATACACTACTGACCCACCACCACCATTATTCACACACTCTACTGGACCACAACCACCATTATTCACACACTGCTGGCCCACCACCACCATAATCCACACACTCTACTGGTACACCACCACCATTATCCACACACTCTACTGACCCACCACCATTATTCACACACTGCTGGCCCACCACCACCATAATCCACACACTCTACTGACCACAACCACCATTATTCACACACTCTACTGACCTACCCACCATTATTCACACACTGCTGGGCCCACCACCATATAATCCACACACTCTACTGACCACAACCACCATTATTCACACACTCTTACTGACCACAAATCACCATTCACACACTGCTGGCCCACCACCATTATCCACACACACTACTGACTCCACCACCATTATCCACACACACCTCTGACCCGCCAACATTATCCACACACTCTACTGGTACACCACCACCATTATTCATACACACTCTACTGGCCCACCACCATTATCCACACACTTTACTGACCCACCACCATTATCCACACACTACTGCCCCGCCAACATTATCCACATACTCTACTGATCCACCACCACCATTACCCACACACTACTAACCTACCACCATCATTATTCACGCACATCCACACAACACACAACATCCACACGACACCCAACATCCACACAACACCCAACATCCACACAACACCCAACATCCACACAACACCCAACATCCACACAACACCCAACATCCACACAACACCCAACATCCACACAACACCCAACATCCATACAACACCCAAAATCCACACAACATCCAACATCCACATATCACCCATCATCTACACATTACCCATCATCCACACATTACCCAACATCCATATTACACCCAACATCCACACAGCACCCAACATCCACACTACACCCAGCATCCACTCCGCACAACACCCATCTTGCTCATTACAAGAGAGGCGCCGCAATCCACACAGTTTGTCCCTGGCTCACGTGTGGGCTTTTCTCTCGCTTATGTACACAGTATAAACGTTGGCTCGTATTCACACACGACTCGACTATTACTCGTCTTATGTTTATTCAGACTTTGTCGAGGTGAACTATGATATTGTGGGTATGTATATATATATATATATATATATATATATATATATATATATATATATATATATATATATATATATATATATATATATATATCAAATCACAATAAAACGATAAGCTAAGTACTCCGTTGTTCCATTTCCTGTGATTTTATCAGATATATATATATATATATATATATATATATATATATATATATATATATATATATATATATATATATATATATATATATATATATAGAACACCTACACCGTATTGTCACGTATTTTGAGTCGTAAGGAGTTGAACATCATTAGTATTGTGTAAGAACTATGATATTGTAGCTTCACCAGTGTTATGAGAGAGCTGGTGGGTGGCCTGGGAGGAAGGGGCTGGTGGGTAGGGGAAAGAGGGATAGTGGATAGAAGGTGAGGAGAGGGTTGGTGGGTAGGATGGGAGGAGAGGACTGGTGGGTAGGGAAAGAAGAGGATAGTGGATAGAAGGTGAGAGAGAGGGTTGGTGGGTAGGATGGGAGGAGGGACTGGTGGTGGGGAAAAAGAGGATAGTGGATAGAGGTGAGGAGAGGGTTGGTGGGTAGGATGGGGAGGAGGGACGTGGAGGGGAAAGAGGGATAGTGGATAGAGGTGAGGGTTGGTGGGTAGGATGGGGAGGGAGAGCTGGTGGGTAGGGGAAGAGAGGGATAGTGGATAGAAGGTGAGAGGAGGGTTGGTGGGTAGGATGGGGAGGAGAGGACTGGTGGGTGAAGTGGAAGGAAACAGACTTTGAGAGGGACGTGGGTTAGCCGGGTCAAGGGTAGTCCGAGGTGGCGGGTAGAGACTAACCTAACCTAACCTTGACAGAGAGGATGCAGGGTGGACACCAGCTGTTCCCAGGTCACATTCAAACGGCTTAGAAGGCCAGTGATGCTCTCTGACCTTTGCCCGGTGGTGTTGCGCCGGTCACACCTGGAGGAGGAGATGTTGGGGTGATAACAGGTGTTGTACAGGCCATCACCACCCCCTGACACACCCTGCCACACCCTGCCACCTTGCCACACCCTGCCCCCTGACACCCTGCCACCCTGACGCACCTGCCACCCTGACACACCCTGCCTACTCCTGACACACCCCCACCCCTGACACACCCTGCCTACCTGACACACCCTGCCACCCTGACACACCCTGCCACCCTGACACACCCTGCCACCCTGACACACCTGACACACCCTGCCACCCCTGACACCCCCCACACCCTGACACACCCTGCCACCCCTGACACCTACCACCCCTGACACACCCCTGCCACCCTGGCACACCCTGCCACCCCCTGACACACCCTGCCTACTCCTGACACCTCACACCCTGACACACCCTACCACCCTGACACACCCTGCCACCCTGGCACACCCTGCCACCCCTGACACACCCTGCCTACCTGACACACCCTGCCACCTGACACACCCCACCCTGACACACCCACACCCCTGACACACCCCTGCCACACCCCCCCTGACCCACACCCCTGCCACCCCTGGACACACCCCTGCCACCCTGACACACCCCTGCCACCCTGACACACCCCACACCCCTGACACACACACCCACACCCTGACACACCCTACCACCCTGACACACCCCTGCCACCCTGGCACACCCTGCCACCCCTGACACACCCTGCCTACTCTGACACACACCCCACCCTGACACACACACACCCTGCCACCCTGACACACACCCCACCCTGACACACCCTGCCACACCCTGCCACCCCTGACACACCTGCCTACTCCTGACACACCCTGCCATCCTGACACACCCTGCCACCCTGACACCCTGCCACCCTGACACACCCCACCCTTTGATACACCCTGCCATCCTTGATACACCCCACCCCCTGACACACCCTGCCTACTCCCTGACACCCCTGCCACCCCTGACACACCCCACCCCTGACCTGACACACCCTGACACACCCTGCCACCCTTTGATACACCCTGCCTACTCCTGACACACCCTACCCTGCTGATGATAACCTGTGATGAACACCTGATTGTCCATACTGTTAATGATCACCTGATTGTCCATACTGTTGATGATCACCTGATTGTCCATACTGCTGTTGATCACCTGATTGTCCATACTGTTGATGATCACCTAATTGTCCATACTGTTAATGATCACCTGATTGTCCATACTGTTGATGATCACCTGATTGTCCACATTTGATGATCACCTAATTGTCCATACTGTTAATGATCACCTGATTGTCCATACTGTTGATGATCACCTGATTGCCATACTGTTGATGATCACCTGATTGTCCATACTGTTGATGATCACCTGATTGTCCATACTGTTAATGATCACCTGATTGTCCATACTGTTGATGAACACCTGATTGTCCATACTGTTAATGATCACCTGATTGTCCATACTGTTGATGATCACCTGATTGTCCATACTGTTGATGATCACCTGATTGTCCATACTGTTGATGATCACCTGATTGTCTGTATTGTTGATGATCACCTGATTGTTGATGATCACTTGATTGTCCATACTGTTAATGATCACCTGATTGTCCATACTGTTGATGATCACCTGATTGTCCATACTGTTGATGATCACCTGATTGTCTGTATTGTTGATGATCAACTGATTGTTGATGATCACCTGATTGTCCACACTGTTGTTGGTCACCTGATTGTTCATACTGTTGATGATCATCTGATTGTTCATACTCTTGATGATCACCTGATTGTCTATATTGTTGATGATCAACTGATTGTTGATGATCACCTGATTGTCCACACTGTTGTTGATCACCTGATTGTCCATACTGTTGATGATCATCTGATTGTCCATATTGTTGATGATCACCTGATTGTCCACACTGTTGTTGATCACCTGATTGTCCATACTGCTGTTGATCACCTGATTGTCCACACTGTTGTTGATCACCTGATTGTCCATACTGCTGTTGATCACCTGATTGTCCATACTGCTGTTGATCACCTGATTGTCCATACTGTTGAAGGATCACCTGATTGTGTACTGTTGATGATCAACTGATTGTGATGATCACCTGATTGTCCATACTGTTAATGATCACCTGATTGTCTGTATTGTTGATGATCAACTGATTGTTGATGATCACCTGATTGTCCATATTGTTGATGATCACGCATGATTGTCCATAATTTTGATGATCCTGATTATCCATTCTGTTGATGATCACCTGATTATCCACACTGTTGTTGATCACCTGATTGTCCATATTGTTGATGATCACCTGATTGTCCATATTGTTGATGATCATCTGATTGTCCATTCTGTTGATGATCACCTGATTGTCCACACTGTTGTTGATCACCTGATTGTCCGTCTGTTGATGATCACCTGGTTGTCCACACTGTTGATGATCACCTGATTGTCCATTGCTGTTGATCACCAGATTGTCCATGTGCTGTTGATCGCAGATTGTCCCATACTGTTGTTGATCACCTGATTGTCCATACTGCTGTTGATCACCTGATTGTCCACACTGTTGTTGATCACCTGATTGTCCATACTGCTGTTGATCACCTGATTGTCCATACTGCTGTTGATCACCTGATTGTCCATACTGTTGATGATCACCTGATTGTCCATACTGTTGTTGATCACCTGATTGTCCATACTGCTGTTGATCACCTGATTGTCCATACTGCTGTTGATCACCTGATTGTCCATACTGTTGATGATCACCTGATTGTCCATACTGTTGATGATCACCTGATTGTCCATAATGGTGGTCACCTGATTTTTCCCTCCTCTTGTTGGTTTGTAAAGACCTGATCAGCCTCACTCGATAATGACAAACTCACCGAGGAATCAGATGTTATTATGTCAGTTCACAAGACCAGGACAAATGTTAAGAAACAGTTGTACACATTGTGGGACCATTTCAACAGGTGTTACATATATCACAGCTGCACACGACGTTGGTAATGCCCGTCGCGATACATCAGCTTGTTATTAATTTAGCGGGGTCGTGACATCTCCGGGAGGCGCTCGTGTATTATATAAAAAAACACTTACTCACACATACTCCTAGGTCAGGGATTACGAGTATCAGGGAAATGGAAGGTATTTGTTAGGGTCAGCCATGACTTGTGTTATTATTATTATTATTATTATTATTATTATTATTATTATTACCGGTATTATTATTATTATTATTATTATTATTATTATTATTATTATTATTATTATTATTATTATTATTATTATTATTGAACAACGCCTTTCTCTCTCGCTTAGAAATGCTGCTAATGAATATTATCGTCCAGTTAGGGTGTACAGTATTTAAGCCTTGAAAGTGCTGGGTTATATTTTTCAAGGCGGCAACCACGAAGTAAGGTGGGCGTCGTAATGAGGTGGGTTTCATTATTAGGTGGGTGTCGTATGATAGGTGTCGTCATTAGGTGGGTGTCGTATGATAGGTGTCGTCATTAGGTGGGTGTCGTATGATAGGTGTCGTTATTAGGTGGGTGTCGTCATTAGGTGGGTGTCGTATGATAGGTGTCGTATGATAGGTGTCGTATGATAGGTGTCGTTATTAGGTGGGCGTCGTATGATAGGTGTCGTCATTAGGTGGGTGTCGTATGATACGTGTCGTCATTAGGTGGGCGTCATATGATAGGTGTCGTCATTAGGTGGGTGTCGTATAATAGGTGTCGTACAATAGGTGTCGTTATTAGGTGGGTGTCGTATGCTAGGTGTCGTTCTCTATGGCAGTGTAAGTGGAACACTGCCATTGAGGATATTTTATTTTGCGAGGTGGGCTTGAAGGGTACTCCCCTCCTGCCGGAAAAGCAGGAAAATATTAGATATTTCCCATGTTGCTGAGGGGGAGTTAGGGTTAAATGTGAGGCAGAAGGGAGCTGGAGGCTGGCAGGCAGGCAGGGGGGGGATAGCCTGAGGTAATGGGAGGAGAGGCAGGGGTGAGGGTATAGTGACGAGAAAGGTCACGCGGATGAGAGAGAGGAAGGTGATGGAGTTTGCCAGTCTTGCCATGTTAAAGGGGAGGGGAAGAGGAGAAGAGAGAACGGAGGATGAGGATATGATAAAGTAGTACTTGAGGTAACGTAGCCGTGGTGAGAGGTCGTTTGAGGTGAAGGAGGATGAGGTACTGTATAGAGGAGGGGAGTGATGGACGTGTCTATCAGCCTGGGTTATGAGGAGGCCACTCATCCTTGGTCCCACGTCAAGGCTTCACTTGTCCTTAACGATGTTATTTAACAAAGTGTCCTATAAAGCTAAATGATGAATAATGTTGTGAATCTGATGAATGATGGTTAAGTGATGAACGATGATCGGTGTAGTGAATATGGTGAATAATGATGAGTAATGTACAGTAAGTGATGATGGTGAATAATGATTAATAATGTTAGTGTTGATGGTGAATAATGATTAATAATGTCAGTAACGATAGTGAATAATGATGAGTAATGTACAGTAAGTGTTGATGGTGAATAATGATTAATAATGTCAGTAACGATAGTGAATAATGATTAATAATGTACAGTAAGTGTTGATAGTGAATAATGATTACTAATGTACAGTAAGTGTTGATAGTGAATAATGATTAATAATGTCAGTAACGATAGTGAATAATGATTAATAATGTACAGTAAGTGTTGATGGTGAATAATGATTAATAATGTCAGTAACGATAGTGAATAATGATTAATATTGTACAGTAAGTGTTGATGGTGAATAATGATTAATAATGTAAGTGTTGATGGTGAATAATGATTAATATTGTACAGTAAGTGTTGATAGTGAATAATGATTAATATTGTACAGTAAGTGTTGATGGTGAATAATGATTGTAATGTACAGTAAGTGTTGATAGTGAATAATGATAAATAATGTACAGTAACGATAGTGTATAATGATTAATATTGTACAGTACACGTGTTGATGGTGAATAATGATTAATAATGTGCAGTAAGTGTTGATGGTGAATAATGATTAATATTGTACAGTAACGTGGTGAATAATGATTCAATAATGTACAGTAGGTGTTGATGGTGAATAATGATTAATAATGTACAGTAAGTGTTGATGGTGAATAATGATTAATATTGTACAGTAACGATGGTGAATAATGATTAATATTGTACAGTAAGTGTTGATGGTGAATAATGATTTAATATTGTGTACAGTAACGATAGTGATAATGATTAATAATGTACAGTAAGTGTTGATGGTGAATAATGATTAATATTGTACAGTAACGATAGTGAATAATGATTAATAATGTACAGTAAGTGTTGATGGTGAATAATGATTAATATTGTACAGTAAGTGTTGATAGTGAATAATGATTAATAATGTACAGTAAGTGTTGATGGTGAATAATGATTAATATTGTACAGTAAGTGTTGATAGTGAATAATGATTAATAATGTACAGTAAGTGTTGATGGTGAATAATGATTAATATTGTACAGTAACGATAGTGAATAATGATTTATATTGTACAGTAAGTGTTGATGGTGAATAATGATTAATATTGTACAGTAACGATAGTGAATAATGATTAATATTGTACAGTAAGTGTTGATGGTGAATAATGATTAATATTGTACAGTAACGATAATGAATAATGATTAATATTGTACAGTAACGATAGTGAATAATGATTAATAATGTACAGTAAGTGTTGATGGTGAATAATGATTAATAATGTCAGTAACGATAGTGAATAATGATTAATATTGTACAGTAACGATAGTGAATAATGATTAATATTGTACAGTAAGTGTTGATGGTGAATAATGATTAATATTGTACAGTAAGTGTTGATAGTGAATAATGATTAATAATGTACAGTAACGATAGTGAATAATGATTAATATTGTACAGTAAGTGTTGATGGTGAATAATGATCAATAATGTCAGTAACGATAGTGAATAATGATTAATAATGTACAGTAAGTGTTGATGGTGAATAATGATTAATATTGTACAGTAAGTGTTGATAGTGAATAATAATTAATAATGTACAGTAACGATAGTGAATAATGATTAATATTGTACAGTAAGTGTTGATGGTGAATAATGATTAATATTGTACAGTAAGTGTTGATGGTGAATAATGATTAATATTGTACAGTAAGTGTTGATAGTGAATAATGATTACTAATGTCAGTAACGATAGTGAATAATGATTAATAATGTAAGTGTTGATGGTGAATAATGATTAGTAATACAATTGTTATAATGTGGTACAAAATTATTAAAAACAAACGTGTTGCATGAATTCGTATCTTCAGAAGTTTGGGTAAAAGGTTTGTGTACGAGTCTTGGAAGTTGAATTCCCACGAATATTGCAGCACAGTATTGTAAGCCCTGGGTGCCTATGGTGCATGAGACAAAATACTGTGACAGCTCACATCTCCCTTGACGTTTGTTGTGTGTCTGACGCTCACAGCACAACGTGTATTTGAAAGAATTGTTTGCGATTTCCGCCAGCACACTTGGTACGTCCGCTTAGTGTACATTGTACTTGTGACGTGATGCACAATACTCCTCCTAACCTTGGAAGAGTGAGAGTTCTCCTGTATTAGGCATATTTATTAATGAGTAATATTACTAGTCAGAAATATTGAGGTTTTTAATATTTAAAACTAGATCTATGGTTATAAAAGTCGAACATTAAAAAAAAACAGCACTGTTAATTGGGTTTTTGAGGCCAGAATGTTGATTTTCACCAAAAGAAAAAAAAATATTAGTTATTAATATGTTGTGCTAAAACTCTGGGGATATGTGTTTTGGAACCTCTCTGTTGTTCCCACGTTAAGGGTATAATTTATATTAATAGTACAGTTATAATTATTAATGATATATGTGCCCGGGTGGGTTGGTGAGCTCACGCCTGGAATCTAAACTCGTCACTGGGAATTTTAAACGAAGAGAAAATAAACCCTTCAATTCTCTTCAAATACTAAGTCACTTCTTTCTTCTTTCCTCAGGTAC